AGCACCTGGGCTCAGGAATAAATTCACCGACCAACTCAGACCGGACGTAGGGCACGTTGCCTGAACCAGTATAAACCCTGTGTCATTGAGTGTTAGACCACATCCGATCACAACATACGGTAAAACGACAAATATTTACTAGTTGGTCACTTTTCGCACTCACAACCTTACACAATGATATGTGCGTGTATGCGGGATACACACGCAATTGCATATGCAACATATGACACTAGTAGAATTTATTTCACATCAGTTTGTTCAAATCATGCGAAATAATAATTTTATGTTTTATGGTAAAAATTTCTTTTCTCAGAAAATCAGGTTGACGTGTACGTCATACATATCACTGTTGGTGATATTGATGCTAACGTTATCCATGGCCTGAGTTTCTCACAAATATCTTGTGGAGTGCATTAGTTAGAGTAGGAAGCTGCTTTGTGACGGCGAAGAAGCGGCGAGAGCGACGGCCTTCTAGAGATGGAAGCTAAGCCTGCAGCAGACTGCGGAGTACAATCGCCGCGCATATAACGGCATCGATTACAACTCGAGACCGGACGGTATATACAAAGCCATGACCTCACCCATGACTTGGCGTCCTGATGAATGATTATGATCCCCACACATTAGCATCAAAAGGGGGCTCACCACACACCACCTACCTGCTTGTAAGTAGTTAGGTCAGTAAAAGGGTTGCCCGAGGTTTGAAGCCATTGACCGTCTCCAAAAGGGTATGGGCGATCGATCGATGTGAGTGATCATCAACTTATCATTGAGTCGAATGTGACATTTGTCGACGACACCCTGAATTTTTTAAACCCTGCTGCTGAATGCTGACGTTGCCTGATTACCCGTGAAGACCACGAACAGATAAATGCTTATGAACGCGAGCGGTGGGGAGGAGATTCGTGTACGAGAAGGTAACCAGCAAACAGCTGAGCAGTAACCGATGGATACGTCCGTGCATATTCAAGGGAGCCCGGATTTGACCGTCGTTGTTGGGTCCTTAACGCAAAGGCAAGTGGTGGATGGTGCTCGCCGTCGTCCGTCGTCGCCGCTGACGCCCGGCGCAGCTGAAAAACGCTGGTGCCTGACGCACGGCGCAACTCGCCGGCGAGAGATGTCACGAGCCGCGTTTACCTAAGCCGATCACTCGACGCCGACGTGCGAACCAAACCACTACTCCTAGCTGCGACTGCGAGAGAATGTTTAACAAACGCAGGCGTCCCCGTTGAGCGACAGGGCGAGACGGAATGAAACGCATGCACGCGTCTCACGCCGCGACGACTTTGTTCGCCGGCGACGGCGAGCCAGCCTTTTGCAGACTGTAACCTGCGGAATCTGACAACCGCTAACTGCCGAAGGGAAAGGTTCGGGCAGATACAATTGTTGGGCCTTTTTCAAGGCAGGGCACGCCATCGACCGTGACAGCCGGAGACGCCGGCCGGGCGTGATTTTCCTCGAAACAGGTGGATGATCCTCTGCCGGGCCGGCTCCGGCCTCTGATCCGGGTCGTGGCGAGATTTTGCGCGCGGTTAGTTAAGCGCGGGACAGGGACGCCGCGGTGGCGTCCTTGGTGTCTCCCTCTGTGTCACGCTGTCGCGCGTCACGGCCTGGAATTTGGAGGGAGAAGACGAGCGGTAGAAGTGGAACGGAAGCAGATGGCGCGATCACCCTGATGGATCAGAAAGACTGACGCTTTTAGCTTTTATAAGTAGATCTACCACGTAAAGATAGCCTCGGTCGTACTCGTAATACGTCTGAGACGAAACGGAACGCCATGTTTAGCAGAAAATCGTGAGGTCATGACTCATGAATCATGATGGACTCCAATTTTTCAAGAAACTTCGGTTTTTGCTTCCTCAGGTTGAGCAGTAGAGCACTGCCCGGTTTGACTCACGAAAGGCGTTCAAGCCCGAGTGGCGGAACCAGAAATTTTGATTAAGGAGGGCCGAGCAAACATGATTACATCTCATAAGTATGGCAAGTATATATAATAAATATATAAATATATGTATCAATAACTTTTTCAGTACTTATAGACATGTAGTTAGTATTCATAACGAAAAATCACTATATTATTGATAAAAAACATAGTAAATTGATGATTTACTATACTGTGCAGTAAATATTTACTGAATATTAACTATTTTCACTGCGTCAGGGGGGCACGGTCCCTGCCAGGCCCCCCTTGTTTCCGCCACTGAGCCCGAGGATCTGGATGGGTCTATTCAAGGCCGGAAGAAGAATTTGGTCTCGTTCGTTACTAATGCTTAAGAGAGAAAAAATCCCTTTTACCAAGAAGTGGGCTTGGCGTTGTTTTGATCTGAAAAGAAAATATTCTTATATGCAGGTTATCTTTAGAGCTACATATTGTACTCGATTTTGGTCTCAATTCTGAAGGAAAGCGTTGAGGCCGACCATGAAGAAAATAACTGTTTGCAGATCTTCGCCAAGCATGAGTGAATGTCTTCTAATAGCCTTGAGGCTTAGTTGGCCTTTTGATTTGTCTTTTTTGTTTCCAACGTTTTATTGCTTTTTGCTAGTTTAGTTCTTTTAGGTAAAGGATACTTTGTTATAATAATGGATGGTTGTGTGTAAAACTCTTGCAGAGGTCGGAATATTATTCCCTTTTCTAAAAAAAAGCCACGCATTACCTACACTAGTATTGCTTTACTGGCTTCATTAAAAGGATGCACATGAAAACAATAAACAACAATAGGTTTTTTTTTCATAATTTAAGTTTCATGCAATTCTATATTACCATATATATCATCTGAAAAACACTCATGCACAACCAGGAATAATAAGTCATGTCCATAAAAATTCCGTCCTCATTGAATGTGATAGTTATAGATTCGAGAACAAAAATCTCTATTCGGATGGACCTCGCCCACCCTGACCTCTCGCTCTTAACGACGCCCGGCGCAAGACCTCCGTCGATCTACCTCCTTGCACACCAGCCCTTGAAGCCAAGATCCAAGCTCTCCGCTTCAGATCTATCGATCCATGGGGATCGGGCTGCCACCACGACGCCCTTGCCCCCTCTTCTTCCTTGGTCACGCCGACGTGCGAACCAAACCACTGTCCGGCAGGAGCAAGTTCCGACGTTGGGAGGAAGACCCGCACGGTAGCTCCAACGACGGCCACGCGCTCGTTACCTAGACGCATCGAAAGGTGCCACGCCCATGCTGGGGCTTCTAAGGCTTTTAGCCTTGAGGAACCCATCTGGTGCCTGCAAGGGGAAACGAGGCAAAAATAATATTTTAAATTTTCAGTTCTGAATTCCTCTGTTCCTATACAAAAATTACAAGACCATGTTTTTTTTTTTCAATGATTTTTGGTTCCTCTATATAGGATTGCTATATGTTCCTGCTATATAAAGCAGCACATTTTAGGTACATTTAAAGGATAGGCTATAACGAAAATGAGGAGAATAATGATGACTTGAATTGGTGATGGCAGATGGGATGGATTAGGCAGGAAATACTGAATACAGGATAGTAAAAGAGAATGGCCGAGGGGGCATACCGCCCGATGGCGGCGAGGGCAGGGCGATGCCCTTATGGGGACGGCATCGAGAGGAGGCCTTTGGCTGGTGACCATGGGCAGGTTGGCGGAGACCTCGAGGATCTGGCAATGAGGAGGCGGCCACGCCCATGCCGCCCTTGAGGAAGAAATTTACCTAGGGAAGAGGCGTAAGCCTGCATAACCCCACCCAATCACCACACGGCCGCGCCTCGGCGGGACCCTCTAGCTCCTGCTTGCCCTCCTTCTCCATGAATGGGCCTCCTCTCTCCCCGTCTTAGTTCAATTCAAATCTAAATCTTGAGTTGTTTCAAGGCAACGCTGGGTGGGCATAGGATGGATGAGACCATCATGAAAGCGTGAGCACGACAGGACGATCGCGGGGGGGAGGTTTTTAAACCAGAAAATGCCTTTAAGCATCAGGGGATCGGGGTTGTTGCTGCGTGAATAGCGGCGCTGACCGACTTTTTTTTAATCCTGGACTGGGGGTGGAGCGATGAAGTGGGGAGATCGGGGGTGGGAGATCCAAAGAATATCGGCCGTCGGATGTGGTTGAGTAAGGAGAGAGAATGAGTGAGGGTTAATTTGGTGCACACGTTTTTAATGTTATATTTTTTTGTGTGCGTTTTGTGGGGTGGACGTAGTTTAGGTCATAACTGTAGAGGTGGGATTTGTTTGGTGACTGTAGGATAATTAGAAGTGTTTTATTATAGGGGTAGAGATTCTACACAGGTTAGAAGTTGTTTCAAGACAATTTCATACCTCATAAGGTTTTTAAACCAGAAAATGCCTTTAAGCATCTTTTTTTTTGAAAATCTAGAAATAGATAGAACACGACTAACACAAATAATATATTTATACAACTTGAAAGTATCTCTAAAAATTTCATAAAAATAGATTTAGTTGTAGGAAAGTAAGAAAAATATCTAGAAAATTGAAATGTTTTCAAAATATTCTGATCAGTGTTTAAATAAATCCTAGATATTTTATAGTTGAGAGGTTAAGATATCAGATTTTAGAGTTTATATAAGGATAAAAATCAGACAAGCCGATGTTTCAAGAGGTAAATGAGACTTTAAAAAACTGGTGGAAAGAAAATGTGACCCTGGCCCAACCCACGACGTCGGCTTGCCCTATCCAGCAGAGAGAGGCCCAATAGCCCAGTTCCCTTGTCCCAAAAACAAGAAACAGCCCAGTTCCCTCCACCTGATTGTCCTCTGTTCAAAAGAGGAGGCGAGTTGATTTGATTTTTCCGTGTCAAAAAAAAAAAAGTCTGGACGTACACCAAGTTGTTTCGCTGACGCCTGCCGGCGGGACCCACACTTCGGCGACAGCCCCTTCGCTTTCCCTGCTTTGACTTTGCTTAAACCCCCCTCCTCTCCCTCCACCTCCTCCCGCGCCGCCGCCCCCGTCCCCCGCCGCAAAACCCTAGCTCGGACGACCCCCCGCCGTTGCCGCGCCCGCCAGAACCAGCCATGGCTTCGACGCATGTTCTTAAGAAGAACTACCGCTGCGACCGCTCCCTGCAGCAGTTCTACACTGGCGGGCCCTTTGCGGTCGGGCTCGCCCCCGGCGGCGACGGCGATGGCGGCGCCGAGGCTGAGACCTTCCTCGCGTGCGCGTGCGGTGGGGAGGTGCGCGTGGTGTCCGCCGCGGACGCCTCCGCCATAGGGGAGCCCATCGACGGCGACTCGGAGGCCATCACCGCGCTGGCGCTGTCCCCCGACTCACGGCTCATCTTCGCCGCGGGGCACAGCAGGCTTATTAGGGTCTGGGACCTCGCGTCCCGAACTTGCATACGCAGCTGGAAGGTGAGTATTGAGCCGTCCTGTGTTTTGTGGTGACTGCTCCCTGGTATCCACATTGCTGTGCACGGATTAGTGAATTCGACCACAGGAAATCAATTTTACGTGAATGCTGCTAGATGACCCTGTATCTAGCTATAAAGTAATCCGGAGCTTATTCACGGCATAACAAAAATCTCGGAGTTCTGGTAGTAGTTTGACAGTTTAAAAGATAGCTTAAATCTAGTTGCCCTAAGCTTAGGAAGCTTGTATCCTTGTGTGAATGTCAGAACTGTCAACTGCACATATTCTAAGCTATTCAGCTCTTCAACCTGTAACATTATTCGTTTGATGTTTTGGTTACAGTGTGTTGGTAGGGATAGGGGTCATTGTATAGTAACCGTGGGAAGTTAAATGGATTGAAGTTTTAGAAGCTCTTCAAGAGCTTTGCAATAAATCTATGAGAGACTAGTAGTTTCCTTACAAAAAGCATTTTGTTGCACACGCCTAAAATACCAGAAATCATGCACTGCTTTTCATAAATTGTGATTTGTGCGAAGTTAAATTAAATGTGATGCTGTATTGTAATGTCTTAGTGTTACCTTCTTATCTTTTCTGTTTAATTTTGCAAAGATAAAGGATACCGTTGTTATTTCCACTGACAACCGTGATGTTACAATCAGACATACTAATTTGTTACAGAGCTTGTGCACAGCTTTTCAATTTTTCATTGTTTGATTGATCTTAATCCTGTCATACTGATTGTTGTGTTAATTAGTTAACTTAGAGACTGTATGGCTGATTTACCACTACAGGCTAACATCTTTTACAATTAAAACTTGCTGATGCTATTATGTTAATAATACTATGCTAGTATACTGCCATGTGAGGTAAACTAATGTATTTAACTTATGCCGTACAGGGACATGATGGTCCTATCATGGCCATGGCATGCCATGCTTCTGGTGGTTTGCTTGCAACTGCCGGAGCAGACAAGAAGGTCTGTGTATGGGATGTCGATGGTGGATTTTGCACCCATTTCCTTAGAGGCCATACAGGCGTTGTGACGACCATTATGTTCCACAAAGATCCAAAGCGCCTTCTGGTGAGGACAATTTGAAGATAAGGAATTGTGCTTTTATTGAACTGGATCACCGAAAATGGCTCTGGGAGCTTGCTAGTTCAAATCACTTCATTATTTTTATGCAGTGTATTCCACTTCCTTTTGATGAGCCCAATATAACCTTTGTGTGCTGGATCTCCAGTTGTTTTCAGGAAGTGAAGATGGCACCGTGCGAGTGTGGAACCTTGAAACCAAAAAATGTGTTGCTGTGCTTAAAGAGCATTTTTCGGCAGTCACTTCATTGACATTGTCTGATGATGGACAAACATTGCTCAGTGCTGGGAGGGATAAGGTATGAATGGTCTCATGTCTATTATTCATTCTAGAGCTTTCATTCTGCTATCATTACATATGTTTTAAAGTGAAACATTTATGCTTCCCTTGTACTGGAATATATTCATAATCCCTCCGGTCAAAAATGCTTGTCAAATTTGACTTTGCGCGGTCTTTGATGTCTATCTTTGACCAGCAATTTTTCTTCTTAAAATCCTTCAAATTTAAGAGATGTTGCAGGCATTTGATTACAAATCTACACATGTTTCCAAACTGAATAATGTAATAGTTATTGATGTCTGTAGTTTTTTAGGTTTGACCAAATTTTGTCTTAAACGACATGTTTTTGTGACCGGAGGTAGTATATTCTTAGGGCTCCATGGGCTCTTCAGAACTATATAGAGTAAGTTGAGGGGCTCAAAACAGTCTAAACTTGTTGGAAGTGTCAGAAGTTGAAGCTTTTCCTCCCATTTTGTGTGTGGACCTTTGTGCTCAAAAAGTGGTGGTCATAGGAGTACCCTTTTTGCTTGAATTTTGATATTTCTAACGTAGGCATTTACTGTGGTGTGCATTTTCTGTGTGTTATTCTGAATGTATGGAACATCTGCAGATTGTTACTGCATGGGATATTCGTAAGTACAGCTCAAAGAAGACAATACCGACATATGAAATGATAGAAGCTGTTTCCTTCATTGGATCAGGAAGTGAGCTCTTGGCTTGTTTGGGCATAGAACTGGCAAATATAAAGGAGAAAGCGGCCGGTTATTTTCTTACAGTTGGTGAACGTGGGGTTGTGCGCATCTGGTGCTTGGAGAGGTACATTAGTTTGCATTTACATCCTCTTTTGTTCTTTGCATATTTCTGTAGTACATGCAATCAATGGCTTTTCTGGTCTTCTACAGTTCTCTTTGCGTGTTCGAGCAGCAAACATCTGATGTAACTGTTAACTCAGAGAACGAGGAAACCAGGAGGGGCTTTACATCTGCTGTTATGTTGCCAAATGATCAAAGATTACTCTGTGTTACTGCTGATCAGCAGTTTTTGTTCTATTGTCCCAAAAGAACTGATGATGGGACCTTTGAACTGTCCCTATATAGACGACTAATAGGTTATAATGATGAGATTCTTGACTTGAAGTTTGTTGGGGAGGACGAACAATATCTTGCTGTAGCTACCAACTTGGAGCAGGTGAGCTATTCATAAATGATGTCTGCACAGTTCTTGTTGGCTAATGCACTCGAAACTTATCAACTGTTACCTCCATATTCAGGTCCGTGTTTATGATGTTGCGTCAATGTCATGTTCTTATGTACTTGCTGGCCACACTGAAATAGTTGTTTGCATTGACACCTGTGTCTCTGCTTCCGGGAAGACACTTGTTGTAACTGGGAGCAAGGATAATACTGTAAGTTGTGATGTCTGGACCTGAAAACTGTGTTGACTTACCATAACGTTTTTGTTTGTGGTTTCTTTGATAATCCTCACTGCTGTCGAGTGCATTCTTGTGCTGCTTTTCCTATTTTTGAGTGTGACCTTTTTTACACAGGTGAGGTTATGGGATGCTGAAAGAAAAAGCTGTATTGGCATTGGCAAAGGCCATCTGGGAGCTGTTGGTTCTGTTGCCTTCTCAAAGAAAACAAAGAACTTTTTTGTTAGTGGCAGCAGGTTTGCTCTTCAGTTTGTCTGTAATCTTTGTTTGCCTGAAGTGACACCAAAATTGTTATTCTAAAATCAGACTATCTTTTTGTTAGTGATCGAACCATCAAGGTATGGACCTGGGACAATACACTTAGTGATGCTGAAGATGAAGTCCCTCTTAAAGCAAAGGCTGTTGTAGCTGCACATGATAAAGATATTAATTCTCTGGCAATTTCACCTAATGATGGCCTTGTTTGCAGTGGTTCTGAGGTAAGATGGTAGCATGATACTCCATTCCAAATTATAGGTCACTTGGTTTTGTCCTAAGTCAAACTTCTCTAACTTTGAGCATGTTTATTGAAAAATTCACTATATCTACAACATTAAAATAGTTTCATCAAATCCACCATAAAATATATCTTGATACTTTTTTTAGTATTATATATGCTAATATATTTTTTTCTAAAAACTTGGTCAGAATTTATAAATTTGGCTTAGGACGGAGATAAAATGACCTATAATTTGGAAAGGAGGGTGTAGTTCTTTTTGATGTGACTTATCCTTTTATCTGGCTTACATCATGTGGTTTTCATTATATATTATCACCTTTATTTTGTAGGACCGAACTGCTTGCATATGGAAACTCCCTAACCTAGTGTCCTCTATTGTCCTTAAGGGACACAAAAGAGGAATCTGGTCAGTTGAGTTTTCTCCTGTTGAACAATGTGTCATGACATCCTCTGGTGATAGAACAATCAAAATATGGTCCGTTGTTGATGGCTCATGCTTGAAGACATTTGAGGGTCATACATCAAGTGTTCTATGAGCTTCTTTCCTTTCACGTGGAACTCAAGTTGTTTCTTGTGGTAATAGGAAATAAGATGTTCATCTAAGTTATTATCTTTAGCCTTTAGGGAGTCTTGTTGACTCTGTTCTTCTGATGTTCCTTAATTCAGGAAGTGATGGCCTAGTGAAGTTATGGACAATCAAGACAAATGAATGCATTGCTACTTATGATAAGCATGATGGGAAGGTATGATATCATTGCCATGCATCAGGGTAGAGTTTTTTTTTTCTGTCTCATTGCTGGAGGGGACTCAAAACTCACTATTATTTGTTCCACAGGTCTGGGCATTGGCTGTTGGCATGAAAACTGAAATGGTTGCTACTGGTGGAACTGATTCTGTCCTCAACCTGTGGCATGATTGCACCATGGAAGATAAGCAGGAAGATTTCCGTAAGAAGGCAAGTGAATCCTTCTGTTACACTTTTAGCATAATATATAATTGCAAACAAGATGTGCTTGCTTTTATGTAATATATATTACTGGAAGAAAACTGTGAAATACCTGACGTTAGACCTTGTGTATATCATTGGCATATGATATATGATATATCTGTGAGTTTACCATATTCTTGATATATTCATCTTTGCCTCTGTTTGTTGGGTTTAGGGATCTATACAGGCATATGTCACTATGTCAGGCATATGCAACACTCAAATTCATCATTTCTTGCAGGAGGAAGAAGTTTTAAGAGGCCAGGAATTGGAAAATGCTGTGTCAGATTCTGACTATGCAAAGGCAATACAACTTGCATTTGAGCTTAGAAGACCACACAGGCTTCTAGATTTATTCTCACAGCTTGCCAGGTACTATTTCTTGATTCGAATGAAATCAGCCGTTTTAAATTATTAGCATGATGTTATACATCATTGGGTTTGCAGGAGAGCTGATGCAGAGGATCCAATAGAAAAGGCTCTTCTTGGTCTTCCAAAGGATGGCCTCCGCGTGCTTCTTGAGTATGTCCGTGAATGGAATACGAAGCCCAAGTTCTGTCATGTTGCACAGTTTGTGCTTTTTCAGGTATTGAGGAGTTTCTCTCCCACTGATATCCTGGAGGTAATAAATTTTCCCTCTTCCTAAGCTGTTTTAACTTCCCTCTTCCTAAGGCGTTTTAACATTTATTAAGAATGTGTTCATGGTCTTACAAACTTTTGCTTCTTCTCATGAGATGATTTGTGCTTTTATCTCTGCAGATCAAGGGCATCAGTGAGCTCCTTGAGGGCCTTATTCCGTATTCGCAGAGGCATTTCAGCAGAGTCGATAGACTAGTCCGAAGCACGTTTCTGTTGGACTATACACTGATGCGAATGTCCGTGGTAGATCCAGATGTAGATGCGGGCACAATCAAAGATGAAATGAATGGTTCATCTGTGGAGAACGGTGAACTTGCAGAGCCTCGGCCTGCTTCACCTGTACCAGAGAAGTCAAGCAAGAAGAGAAAATCCAGGAAATCAAGTAAAAAGGGCAAGGAGAAGAAGGTGAAGGTTGCCTCGAGTGGACACAGCAATGATGTCTCTGTTGAAGCCTGAATATCTAGCTGAGAATCTGGTTTTTGCTTATGCGTGCTGCCAATTTTGTAGCTGCTGTTGCAACTGACGCCGCCCAATGACAAAGAATCGCATCTGATGTAAATGCATTTTTTTTTGCTGCGTTTATTAGAAGGCCACAGTGCCTTTAAGGCATCTCCTATCTGTTCCAAATTTCCTTCTCAACTTATTGGAGTGTATGGTTTGCTATCAAAATTTGCCATGCCAAAGGTTTTGGTAAGCAAAAGTTGCTAAAAGTTGGACAAAAATATTTTACATAGATTTGTCAAGCCAAATATGAGATGTTGCAAGTTTAGGTAGCAAACCAAATGCCTGCCAAAAACTTGGTTAAAGAGGCTCGCTTTGGTTACCAAGACTCTAGAAAATTAGTTTCTTTAAATTCTCCAAGAAATATATTTCAAGAACATATATTTATTTGTAACAAGGAGACTTGAAATGATGGAATATATTCAAAGACTTAGCCTTAGATAGGAGTGCTTGGAAAATAGGTATTCACGTGCCTGAACCTTAATGTTGGGTTTCAACTCTACTCTACCTTAATTTGTTTGGGACTTAAAAGGTATATTTATTTGGAGAAATAAGCACAACAAATAAATTCGAAATAAATGGCAGTAAGCACAAGAACACATCTCCCTTTTATCTTAACAAATTATTAGACAATATAGGTTCTCCAATTATTTGTTGTTTTTAGTACTATATTGCCTTATTACAAGATAGTAAGGATGCCATCAAACCCCTTTCCCTGGAGGTGTTGTTTCGCCATCTTCCGGCCCCAACCGATCGCAAATTGTGCTTCCTCATCACGGGTGAGAGCATAATTTTTTTTCGCCATTGGATCAATGACCATGCGCTGGAGTGCAGTGGCATTGCGAGCAATATAAAGTACAAGATCAAACAGACTCTTGTAGCTGTACACTCCAGTCATCTGAAGCACCTTCAGATGATTGTGTGGCCTCTGGGGCTGTATGTCCTCAAGTCCCAGGATAAATTGCCCCGTGCCATGCCACTCCATCTGCAAACAAATAATTCCAAAAAGTTTTCATATGGACTAGTAATTATTCATAGATGGCAATTAGCAGAATTATTTCCCATCTAAGAGTAAGCCGCATCATAAAAAGTTAGAAGTCTATTTCAGCCATACAACTCTGAACCCTTTTTATCTAGCTGGTTTATTTAAAAGGCGGTTTTGTATTTTTTGAAAACAATAAAAATTGGCAACTGATAGATTATATTTTTAGAAATATTTTGGTATTAGTTTCATATGGACTAGTAATTATACGTAGATTGCAATTAGTAGAATTATTTCTCATCTAACCACATCATAAAAAAGTTAGGGAAAGTCTATTTCAGCCATACAACTATAAACCCATTTTTTTTACCATCTACCTATCAATACACAAATTTAGCAATCTAGCTGGTTTATTTAAAAGGTTGTTTTGTATTTTCTGAAAACAACAAAAACTGGCAACTGATAGATTATATTTTTAGAAATATTTTGGTATTAATTTCATATATTTTGATTTAAAATGAATTAGTTATGATTTTTTTTAACAAAAAACGCCTTTGAAACCACCTAGATGGCTAAATTTACGTTCAGCAAGCTGTCCATGGAGGACATTTTTCACAATAGCAGTATAGAAGTGCAAGCTAAACTTTCACAAATTTGAAGTATTCAGTTGCATAAAATGGAAAAAAAAGGTTACGCAACAGCTAAGCCGCCATAACACATGAATGATACACAAACATATGATGGTATATATAACAAAAACTTCAATGGGACCATGAATAGAATATTGCTGAAGAGATAACTTACATGCAGTTCCAATTCTTCCAAAACTGGAGCCAACTCCAAAAGGTCAGCAAGACGAATAATACCACCAGTGTGCTCATCATGATGTCTAAACATCTCCATGGTCAAGACAAGATGGTGAGAATACGGACACAACCTTTCAGTTGGATGACTCTTTTAATGACACCAATAGGCGCTTTGTGCGGAGAATCTAAGAATCTGAGGTCAGAGAGACGTTGAAAAGAATGAAAGGAGTTAAGGTGATGGGACCGGATGGTATCCCAATCGAGGTGTGGAGATGTCTCGGGGACATTGTTATAGTATGGCTAACCAAGTTGTTCAACCATATTTTTCGATCGAACAAGATGCCTGACGAGTGGAGGAGAAGTATATTGGTACCGATCTACAAGAATAAATGGTATATTTAAAGTTGTACTAATTACCGGAGAATTAAGTTGATGAGCCATACTATGAAGCTATGGGAGAGAGTTATCGAGCATTGCTTGAGAGCAATAACGTGGGTCTCTATGAACCAATTTGGTTTCATGCTCGGAAGGTCAACCATGAAAGCTATTTTCTTAATAAGACAAGTTATGGAGTGGTATAGGGAGTAGAAGAAGGACCTACACATGGTTTTTATTGACTTGGAGAAGGCTTATGATAAAATACTAATGAATGTTATGTGGTGGATATTGAACAAACATAAAGTCCCAACGAAGTACGTCGGGCTCATTAAGGACATGTACAAAAATGTTGTGACTAGTGTTCGAACAAGTGATGGAGATACGGATGACTTTTAGATTAGGATAGGACTACATCAAGGATCAACTTTAAGCTCTTATCCGTTTGTCTTAGTGATTGATGAAGTCACAAGGGACATTAAAGGGGACATCCCTTGGTGTATGCTTTTCGTGGACAATGTAGTGCTAGTTGATGAAAGCCGGACAGGAGTGAATCAGAAACTGAAGTTATGGCGGGAGACTTTGAAGTCCAAAGGTTTTAGACTCAGTAGAACTAAAACTGAGTATATGATATGTGACTTCGGCACTACTACTCGGGAGGAGAAAGATATTAGTTTGGAAGGTCAAATAGTGCCTAGAAATGATACCTTTCGATATTTAGGATCAATGCTACAGAGAGACGGAGATATTGATGAAGATATTAGCCATAGAATCAAAGCAGGGTGGATGAAGTGGCGCCAAGCATCTGGTGTCCTATGTGACAAAAGGATACCACAGAAGCTAAAAGGCAAGTTTTATAGGACGGCGATTAGACCTGCTATGTTGTATGGTGCAGAATGTTGGCTTACGAAAAGACGACATGTTCAACAGATAAGTATCGCGGAAATGTGTATGTTGTGTTGGATTTGTGGTCATACAAGAAGGGATCGAGTTCGGAACGATGATATACGTGATAGATTAGGGGTAGTACTAATTGAAGAAAAGCTTGTCTAACACCGGTTGAGATGGTTTGGACATGTCCAACGGAGACCTCCAGAGGCACCGGTGCGTAGTGGAATCCTAAGCCAGGATAATAACGTGAAGAGAGGCAGAGTAAGACCGAAGTTGACTTGGGTAGAGACAATACAAGGAGACTTGAAAGGATGGAATATACCCAAAGACTTACCAGATAGAAGTGTTTGGAAAACAGCTATTCACGTGCTTGAACCTTTTGATCGCTTCTGCTAGGTTAACTCTAGCCTACTCTAATTTGTTTGGGACTTAAAGGCTTTGTTGTTGTTGCTTCTGCAGCATCTGACACATGGGGCAGTCATTTAGAAAATCCATAATTAAAGCACATGAAAACGTATTAAATTTTCATTAGAAGTTCCATGTTGAGTTTCCGCACATGATAAGTTCCATGTTGAATTTCCGCACATGAGGGATACCACATGGAAGCTCTGTGAAGGCATAGTTAAAACAGTCAGACGATGCTGGCAGCGCAACAGTCGCCTCTGCTAGGGCCAAGCATCCATTGAGCACAATTGGCTTCGGACTGTCGTGAAACTTGAATACATCAAGGTTTGGAGCTTGGATCTCAACCTTTTGCATCCCATTGCAATGTTGCACGCGCAAGTAGCGCAACCGATACAATGGCTGCGACGTTTGCAAGCCACGCAGGGTACAGCGCACGATGCTTAACCACTCAAGAACGGCACACTCTGGCAACAGGCACTGGAGATGTCCAGGGATCGACACTGCATCAAGCTTAAGCTTCTTGAGATTTGTGAAGCCACAGAAATCAGGTGGTGGATTCAAGCAGAGAAACATGAGGCGCAATGATCTAACAGAAGAGCCATTGGAGCCGCTGAAATTATGCAGCGGAAAGATATACCTGCTGTCATGGTCATCGCCCCAGGACCCCTGAGAGAAATCAACGACAATGTGCCTCGCCTTCGACATAGCAGAGAAGCTAACCCATCTGTCAACATGGCGGGTCTGTCGTTTGCGGAGCTTGAATCTAACCACAAACTTTTTCAGAATGGTAGAACTGAGCAGTGGCGGAGAAGCAGGGGCCAAACGGGCCTCAAGAACGTACTGTTATAGGCAAGCATGGTACCATAGTTAGCAAGCTTGCGTGCATCAGGCATCTAGTCAGTAGTAACAGACAAAACAACTATGTATGTAGCTATGCCAATAAACAGTGGGGAAATATACGTGCACTTACGCATGACAACTATGAAACTTGATGCACGGCAAGGGGGGCCATAGCTCCGCCACTGGACCTGAGCTGACGCACGACACTGTTGACATTGCTGATGAACTTCTGTCGGTTCTTGACTGCATTGCTGCCGCTGCTGAACATCGTCTCCCTAGTGAACACCAGGTTCTCGTAGCATCTCCAAAGCCCTCGCCACTTACGAGACAGTATGCTCATTCGCGCAGCTTCTTTGAACTCCAGCCGTGACAATACATCACGTAGGATATCCTGTGGAGCATAGCGTATAACTCAGTCTCGACCAAAATCAATGTCCAGAAAGGAGAGGAGATTCGATAGGACTTACAAGAGGCAGATGCTGAAGCCGCAGAGCCTTGGCTCTAGTCTTCTTCTTAGAACCGTTATTATCCATATGGCCTTCAGAGCCGGATGCCACTTTTTTTGCTTTTATAATCCGTAGCGGATATCAAAAATCAAAACTTCAGGACAAATTAAACTTAGTAACCAATAAAAGAAGAATCGCACAAAATGTGAATAAGATCAGATTCGATTGGAGAAAATTTCCAACCTAGCTTTGATTCAACTACATGGGAGACGGGACGGGGACGCGGGATGGAGATTGGAGGCGTTCTGTCGTTGCAGGGAACAGAGAGAGGGCTCCGCGGCTGCGCTGTAGCCTTGAGGGCGTTGTGGTCGGAGGGTCGGGAGACGACGGCTCCGAGGCTGTCGTCGGCGCATCGTCGGCTGTCGAGTCGTGGTCGTGCGGATAGGCGAATTTTTATTTTAATTAACCTATTTTCAATCAATATTTTTAAAATAACCTATCCAAAGATTATTTCAGACCTAACCCGTTTTGCTCGCGTACCGCGGCCAAAGCATGTTGTGTGTGTTTTTTTTACAACAACAAAGATATATTATATTATCACAGCAGCCGTTTTACCAGGAGGTCTGTCGGCGGGGGGCCGCAGGGGAAGGACGCATGCAACTGGATGGACTAACCGTGCAAAGCATCGGTTAAAGGTGGGTCGGTTGAGCCATCGGTGGAGTAGCGCGCCGACGACCGAAGGATGCTGTTGAAGTCGTCGCCGGAGTTTGGAGAAGAAGCTCAAACCAGGATCCCAGGTGGAGGCGGAGTCGACGAACCAACACTAGAAGAGGAGCCACCTTACTGAAGAAGAGAGCACGAGGACCGGAGGCTGCTGTATGGAGATGGATGCGGGCGGCGAAGGACGTGGATCAGACGGGAACAGATCTCGGCGGAGGCGGGTGAAGGTGGAGACTGGGATGTTGAAGAAGAGATCTACTAAGAAGAGCGAGTTTATTTTATTTCTACTGACCTTGGAATCGACGTCGGCGGCAGCGAGGACGAGGACGAGAACGGCCACGGCGGCAGCGACGGCAATGGCAAGAAAGGACTTTCCACGACGGGAGGCAACACCCATCCGGGCAACTCACAACTACTATCTACTAAATACTAGAAGGGGGGCCCACTCCCAGCCTTCTCCGGCGAGGTCGCCGGAGGCGGGAGGGAGGGGGCCAGCTGGATCTGGACTGGCGCTCTCGAGGAGGAAGACGAGTTCGCTACTACTCCGTAAGATGCATACCGGTCAAATGATTGCACACCGCTTCGTTGCTTGCGCTTTTAGCCCGTCATTCGTTCTGTCCATGAGTTTATTAGAAAAAATCATCCATCTTTATCCCTCCCAATTCCTCCTCCCCTGTCACAGCGCCTTGCAGCTGTCCCGTCCTATACGTGGACGGGGGACGCGCACTTCCCTCGCTGCTGCCACGCGCCCCATCCGCCGTCGCTCGCTCGCGCCCCGTCGCGCGCGCCTCTCGCCCTCTCCCGTCGCGCGTCGCCCACTCCCCCCGTTGCGAGCGCCGCCCGCTTGGCCGACACAAGGCCGATGATGATGGCTGTGGTGCTCGGCGCGCCGCTGGTGCTGGATGCTAGTGGTGCTTGCGTCCCGCCACTCGCCGCCGGCTCCCACCCCACGGCCGAAAATGACCGGCACAAGCTCTCCCTCTCCCTTATGTTGCAAATATATATTTCAGACGTTTCAGATGTATGTTGTAAGTGTTTCATAGACATGTTGCAAGAGTTTGTTCTAAATTTTTCATCTGTTGCAAACGTATGTTGCAAGGGTTTTGATATAGATGTTGCATATGTTTCAGAAATATGTTGCAATAGTATGTTCCAAATGTTTCATCTTTTCTAGTCTTCTGTTGCAGCAAGTGTTTTCATGTTGCAAGTGTTCTATCTGGATGTTGCATATGTTTTCACACATATGTTGCAAGTATATTTTCAAGATGTTTCATCTATTTCAGACGTATGTTGCATTCAAGTGTTTCATGTTGCACGTGTTTCATGCTGTTCGGAGAGTCAAGGGGGCGGGGGAGTGATGGTGGCACCGTCGGGGAATGGGGCGCGGCGAGCTGGTGGGCGGCGGACGTGGTGCTCGACACGCTGGGGGTCGGCGGTCGGGGCACGACGAGGCGGGGCGAACGAATGGGGGCGGGGTGCACGGATGCGAGCGGGTCGAATCTAGGCGGACGGTGCGGATTGCGGGCGAGTTGTACGGACGCGACGACGGCGCGATGCACATGCGAGCAGGACGAATTAGCGGGCGGGGGGCAGGCTGTGCAAGCGGCCGTGGGAAACGACCGTCCGACGGAGTCCTATCATGTCGAACGTCCGGGCGCTACCACGTTTGTTTTAAAATTTAACTGAGTTTATAAATAATATTAGCAATATTTTTATCTTCAAATAATTTTATTATAAAAATAGAGTGAACGATCTATATAATGATACTAATTATATACTATAAGTATTAAAATTTTATATTTTATAAATTTAGTCAAAACCAAATATACTTGACTTCTTGATGAGAACGACAAATAAAAAGAGACAGAGGTAGTACTCCTGAGCCAAAAAGAATGGAACTATGTATTGTATGCCAGTTAGAATCATTCACATTTGATTATGTTTCTAGTAAATGGTATTCATATTTATAATTTCAAATCAATATATTATGAAAATGTATTTCATAATTACTCTAATAGTATTTGTCACTTGACACGTACGCTAGAACTGTATTCTTTCTTGACGGAGGCAGCAGATGCATCGGCGTGGCAGAAATACCAAAGTAGCACAACAAAGTTTTCCTGTGCCGCTCTCTTTTTTTTTTGCGAAAAAGAGTCATGTTGATTACTCCATACTTTGGAACCTGCGCACGCCACGTTGCTGAATGTGACGTACGTTTCGCGAATTGCGGGAGTTCATGAGCGTGACAAGGAGCACCTGGCCAAATCTCGATTTCAATTTACTTTTCTATGATTCGATCTCACAAAACTTAACATATTTGTTATACGAAGTGTAAACAGCCAGTTTTAGTGGCCTGCACAAGGCCAATGCAAGTACTGAAACATCTAATTTCATTGTCAATCACAATCAAAGATGGGATGCGGCCTGGGGGCACAATCAAAGAACAAAGATGTGAATGTCCACGGTAGATCCAGATGTAGATGCGGCCACAATCAAAGATGAGATTAATGGTTCGTACGCGCTTCTGTTGAGAACGGTGAGCTTGCAGAGCCTCGGTATGCTTCACCTATACGTACCACTGTACCAGAGAAGTGCAAGAAAAGAAAATCCGGCAAAATCAAAAAAAAGTGAACGTTGCTTCGGTTGGACGCAGCAATGATGTTTCTGTTGAATCCTGAATAGGTAGTTAGAATATCCGGCTTTCGCTTACGCGATCCGCCAATTTTGTAGCTGCTGTTCAGCTGACACGAATCACTTCTGATGTAAATGCATTCTTTGGCGAGTTCAGACGGCCCCAGTGCCTTAAGGCATCGGCCATCTGTTTCAAAATTTCCTCTTATACAGTGTTTGATTGCTGCAGCTACCACACGGTCCGGGTTGGTTTTCCCGTTGTGATTGTTTCCAATGTGTGTCGTGTGTTGAGTGTGATACCGAAGCAGCAGTACCACCCCCAGCAATAAGTCCACTTGTAATTGTTGGATCTGCGATCTGGATGGTCGGCGAGGCATTTCATAATTTCATTCCTTGTCGATTGGCACAGGCTTTTTTTTGTGGTTGTACCGAATGCTGCGGCATTTGTGGTGGATCATCCGTGCTTTAGTTATCAGTAAGGACTTTGCTGTGTCCTGTGCTGGTAGTATAATACCAGTGTTTAAAAAAAAATCTGTATCTGATTCTTTTGCTGCTGTACGCCCGTATGAGTGTGGTTGAGCATTAGCTTGCTGCTTGGCAATCCAGGTGACTCGGCTTCGTCAGTTGCAATCCAGCAAAACTTTGTTGCTTCAGCCTTTAGGGACAGACAGGATTCTGTTGTTCGAATATACGTGGCATTTACAAGAGGAAGATGCCTGTGAGTCGAACGGAATATGATGTTGATGTTATATAAGATGCCATGCACCAATCAGTGGTCGCTGCTTTCTCCTTAACTGCTGAAGCTCACTACTGTCCTCGCCACCTGATCGTTTCCTCCAAAAGCAATCCATTGATCCAATCCAAGCATATGCATATTAATGGTCCTGTTCGCTTTTCTTATAATCCGTACTTTTCAGCTTGTTTTTTCAGCCGAAACAGTGTTTTTCTCTCATAACAAATCAGCGGGAACAATGTTTCACTTTTTTCAGCGTAGCGAACGGGGCAATTGCATATTCTTTTCGATATGCTCCCAGGCCAAACTCAGCTCACGAAAGCAAAGTAGCAAAACACCCGGAACGCGTGAAAATTGTAAGGTGAAGAACACGAACTGCAAATACTGCGACTGCGAGTCCACCATAAACCAGGTCCTGCTCTGAAACTCTGAAAGACTGCAACTTTGAAAGCAGCAGCACCTCTTTGCCTCGTCGTAAACAGGCGAACTGCAGTCTGCGGAATCGCATTCTCTTCTCAGCAGCGGGTAAATTTCAGCGGCCAAAAAAGTTTGGTCCACCATGTGATGTGAGAGGCACGCCACGAGGAGGGATCAGGCAGGCCACTGGGCATTGGCACGACCGCCCTACAGAATTCGCTCTCGGTCTCTGTCCAACGGCCAGTGGCGACCTGTCGCCACCCGCCACCCGCCAGCGGCCTGACAAGCACGGGCGGCCATCCCATCCTCGTTTACAGATGAACAAACAAACAGTGCTCTGTTCTAGATGAAACGGACATCTTTGGTGTCGATTTCACGGTGGTGTGCACGTACTGTACAGACACTGTGTACCGCAAGAAATACTGGCAAGGGAAAAAAAAAAACAATCAGAAAAGCGATGTTTTTTTGCACCGGACGCTTTTGATGCGCCCTGTTGTCGTTGGTACACAAACACAACGGCGTTGGTTCACGTTCACTGCATGTGGACGCGCGGAAAGGCCGGCGCGGCGCCACCCCAGTTAAAAACAAGCGTGGCAGCTTTGCTTGGACAGCCTCCCCGGTGGTTAAGTTAAGCTCGTCCGTTGCATGGTTATCTTATCGGTAGGCTAATCAGAGAACTCGATCTGTAGGAAAAGGCGCGTGGGATTAGTTTGACCGTGGTGAATCTGACGGCAGGCAACCATGTGCACGCCACGGGCCACGGCAGCGGTGGAGCGTTGAGTAATCACTCCTTCATGTCCTACTAACTAACCTGTAAAACTGAACTGCTAAACATATTCATTGTTCCTTTGTGGATCAGATCTCCAACAAGCACTATTAATAACTGCAGGTAGTATCCACCGCTACGGCGCGCCTACCGTGTTGAAATTTTGTGACGGTGTGATGGGTGGCGAGGAGCCTTTTTCGTCAGTCCTCCTCCTCCGTAGCTGCGTGCCTGCGTGCGTTGCTGCTCCAGCCTCGATACCGGGAGGTCCAAATCCAGTGCGCCCTCCGTCTGTCTCACGTGATCTCGTTCCGAGTCACTGCTGACTCTGCACAAGCGCTTGATCTGCCTGCCATGGCGAGATCCGTTGCAGTTGCAGAAGAATTGCAACCACCTTTGGTGCTCGTCGAGTTGGATCCTAGGTAGGAGTAGTGACAAACACATGACAACAAATATGGTATCCACATGAGATTGAGATCTGTAACTTGTTTATTCTGCAGGCTTTGTTCGGTACATGTATGGTTTCGGCCGCCAATTTGTCTGAAATCTGCAATCGTTCCACGCCGAAGGCCGCGTAGCCCTGCCTCTCTCTGAGACTGAGCTGCGATCTACAACGATCGTGCGGCACATGCACAAATGGCCAAATGGGGAGTTCGTTGTTTTCTCTAGACTGAACATGGCTGTGGCAGTTAGCGGTTAGTAGTGAGGTGGTGGTGGGTACTGCTGCATGCGTACAGTCAGGGTACCTGTAAACGAACCAACACATGGCAAGGCCGGCGGGTCAAACGGTGAGACCTACGGAGGGAGCATCTACGTGCTCCAGCCCAAGTGATGTGGTCAGTCCGCTGATCAT